ATCCTTTATAATTTTATTAAATTGTGTTACAATTTATTTAGCTTATAAATAATTAAAGGATATACTTATAAATTTTCAAACCCATTAAATGAGAATTCGTGAATTACTATTTTGTTATTTTGATTTACTGCTGTTGAAAGGTGAGTTATATATAATACTAATCTCTAATATTTGCTAAGGCGACCTTTGTGTTCACCTCATAGGATTTCCACGTCTACTTTAAATAATATTAATCCGCCAATTGCTCTGCGTGGGGTTTTGTATGTATCAATTAGCTATTATTTACTTTCCCCAAGCCTTCCAGATTCTTATGTTCCTTTTATATGTTTTATCCTTCAAATGTCAAGACTCCTGGGTTAAATATGTCAAACTCAATTTTCCCTTTTGTGGTTTTCCCTTACACTTGTACTAACCCCCCCCCTTTTTTTTGCACCAATATTTTTAAGGACCATTCAAACAAATTATAAAATCTACCTTGTGCAGTGTTGTTTTTTATTACCATAAAAAATTTCCAATTTGATTACAATATTTTTATTTTTTTTAATTTGGTACTTGGAGTAAAACCCATTGAATCACTGATGTTAGATAAACGTTCCATGTCTGTGTTTCTCCCTCTACTCTTCTGATATTTCCTTTCCCATAAAATGCTTCTGAAACCTGCAAAGCTGCAGCCTTATTTCTGGTCTTTTTTCTTGTTTCTATTTTTATTGCTAGAGGTTTGTCCATAAATATTAGTTCTTTGTAAGTATCATATATCTGCCATTTTAAATATATTTTAAGATTTTCTGGTTTTGAACTTAAGATTTTTAATATGTATTTATTCTAGCTCCTGATACATTTTAATCTCTTCCTTTAAACTTCAAAGGTGCTTTATAGCTATTGTTTATTATTTATTTCTCCATTTGACTGATGAAATTTTCTTTGTTTTACATTGTACATTACAGATTCTGTTATTTTTAGTATTATAATAATTTGAAGTCTTTAATTTTTGCTGAAACAATATTAACATTAAACAATAGTCATCCTGTTGTAAAACACAATTTCACTTGGACTTCTATGCACTTTAGTACTCTGTGCACAATTGTTTTCATTTGTTTTAGAATTTTTGTCTCAACTCAGCTTTTACTACATCTCTGTGAATTCTTAGTGTGTGTGTCTGTGAAGATGGAGGGAGGGAAAGAGAGGAGGGGAAGAGAGAATGTGTGTGTGTGTTACGAACAAAGAGCTTTTAGCAGTCCACAACATATCTTTCTTCTTCTTTTCTATGAATTATTTCTTATTTTCTGGAGGTTCATGATAAATTAAATCTTCTCTTCCTAAAGTGCAATTTTCGTTCTTTCTGTCTGTGAGTGCGTGTGGTTCACGGAAAGCATACCTTTGTTTTGCATTCTGATGAGTTGAGTGTGGCCTTACAGTGAAACCAGAGTGTCTCTCAGAATAACTTACATTTTTTCATTGCATTGTGGTCTGTTTTGTTAGTGGTACATCTGGTGTCATATTGTTCAAAAAGATCTTCGTCTTTTGCTTTTTCTTTTGTTTCACATAGGAAGGCTTATTTGCCTGGTGTTAGATCTAGGGTTTATTCTCAGTCATTCTACTGAGCAGTTGTTGCTAACCATCATTGCTTTTTAATTTTTTTCTCATTATAATTTCTTCACTTTTCTTTGGAGCTCCTCCTCTGGCCCAGAAAAATATTTTCCTGTTTCTCTATACATGATTTTATATTCTTGCTAAATCTTTGGACACAGACTTACTTTTCACTAATATTCCCCCTTCTCCACCTTAACTTTAAGTGTCTGGTTCCCTTTGCAACCTTTTAAATCCTTTCTCCATTTTTCTGTATCTTGTCTTTTTTTTTTTGGGGGGGGGGAGGTTCTCATTTCTACTCAAACCATCAGCAGGCACTGTAATTTTCCCCAGCTTTATTTACTCCCACCCTTGAATTTGGACTTTCATACCTGTATCTTTAAGATGGTTCAGAGTTGAGTGCTTTGATGTCTCTCATGTTCCAAAGTCTCCCATCCGATTTCCCCAAATCCCTCTTCTAGAAACTGTTCTTGAATCCAAGTATGAAGTCATAATAAATGTATCAGCAGTTGCTGGATGTAGCACTGGTCACCAGACCCTGTTTATTATACTACTTAGGGGTGACTGTTCTTTAATCTTATGCTGCCTTGGTCCTTATCAAGGATCAGTTTGTCTCTGAAGTTCCTCCTCCCTGGGAAGTAGAGCGAGGGTGAGAGTAGAAGCAAGGCTGATGGACTTCGAAGACATCTCTGGCTTTATAGTGTCGTCTTTATGCATTTTTCCCAAGCCACATAACGTGGCAGAGATAATAATAATCACATCACTAAGTTGATAGAAGTATTTAAGAAAAAAACTTGTGAGACGTGTTTAATGCCCTGCCTGTCATATGGTGGGTGTTGAGGAATGTTAAATTCTATAACCGTTAAGAATGGGTCTTCCTGAATTTGCCAACAACCTCTCTGTAAGGTAGAGCTGCCACAAAAAATTCATTTGCTGAGCTTAAGATTTAATGTTAACCTGCTTAGATAAGATGCGTAATTCACCTATGATTAGAGTGTTAGACTTGGTAATTGTTATGTGCATAGCATTGTGGATAGACACGTGCTTCTTAGGAATCAATCAAGCCAAACTGAAAAGCAGAGATGAAAGTCATAAATGAAAGCATTTGCTACCTTAGAATTTCCTATATATTTGGGTACCCTTAAGGCAAGTTTAAATAAGCATGCAAATTTATGGTTCATGATTGTATTAAAATTAAATAAATTAGAAAGGGTTAGATAATTATAATACAACATGATGGCATAACGTAGTGACATAAAAAGAAATGAATTAAGCAGAAGATTTTGAATAAAATACTAAATCAAGATACCTTGCAAATGCAAGTATTCTGAATTGGGAGGACAATAGAAAAGTAGAATGGACTGGAAGACTAACAAAGAAAGCGCTTATAGCCTTTGATTTAATAGTATGTAGTGAATTATTGAAAATATGATGGTCCATATAAATCATGCTATCCAGATTTAGACTTAAAATTTGGAATATGAAACCAGGTGTGTAGCATACACATGTAGTCCTAGCCCTCCAAAGATGGAGGCAGGAATGCTGGAAATTCAAGTTCCTTGGCCATACAATGAATGCAAGGTTAGTCTGGCATTCACGAGGCTCTGCCTCAATTTTTGTTAAAATGTGTTTGGAATATATATGTCAATAGTCGGACACGGCAAGCATGGGTATATGCCTAGATGTCCTCCTAGAAAAATACATTTTCTAGACCTTTTCCTGCAGGTGTAGCTTATTTTCAATGGTTCTTGCTTTTAGATGACAGTAACCATTTCTTGAGTTAAAAATATTAGGACTTCCCTTATTGAGTTTATATTACATGCTGTAGTTTGTACTAAGTTTTATGCGTAGTAAATTTCTTTTATTCCTAAATACATGGCTATGGGATGTTATCAATCTCATTTTCCAAATGAAGAAACTGAAGCTCAGCAACATTAAATATCAAGCCCCAGGTCACACAGCTGCGCAGTCACTTGCCCGAGAGTTCGGTCCATGCACATTTACGAGATCTGAACCAGAATCTTTGCCTTCTGGGGTATTCCATACTTGGCCTAAGCAATGGTGAGATTCATTTGCACATGCTCCCTGATACAAAGAATATAAAACAGCATCATTTCAATATCTAATAGACAAAAACTGTGTGACAAACTGCACTTTGTGTTTATCAGTGACAACTGCTAGTACAATCCAGGATTAGTTGTTCCCAAACTGCTGTTCATGCCTGCCTGTTGAAAATATGTACATGACTTAATGTATGTATGCAATAATATTGTAATAGCTAAGGTTTTTCTTAAGGTTTACCATGTGCGAGGCAAAATTCTAAGCACTTAAAATGCACAAGCTCTTTTTATGCTAACAACAACACATGAAAATATTGCCCCATCACTCAAATATTACAAAGATGAAATCGAGGCACAGTGAAGCTAAATATTATATGACAACACATGATCATTAAGTGGAAATCTCAGACCAGAACTGCATCCGTGGTGCAGAAGAAGGTTGGCAATCAACCAGTTGGAAAAAAAATAAGAAATTTTATGGTATGTAGGGCAAGTAATTTATTTGAAATACACAGATTATTTCTTTGGCCCTTCAATTTGTACTTTTGATCTTTTCTTGATAATCTCTAAATATTTGTGAATGCTGGAAGAAAACCGTAATAAGCTCCTGAATCTCAGTTCCCAGCTTCAACAACTATAACTGAAACTATAAACACCTAAAGTTTCTCAGCATGCTGCGTTCCTCTTCATTTTCTACATGGCATTTTTTAGTAAGTAGGAATATTATTTTATAAGGTATGATGTATCATTTTTCCTTATTGACTTGCATTTTAAGGTCTACACAAGAAACTTTTTGATTACTCTTAAATTCTATAAGTATTAGATATTTTCTTTTACTTTCTATATATCTATCATTTATCAGTTATCTATGATCCATCTACCAATTATCTCTCCTCATCTATCTAACTTTCTCTGTATAATATATTAATGATTTATGTTTTGCATATATTTAGCTATTATTTTTATCTGTTTTATATGTATATTACTATCTATCATTTATAGCCCCATCTCTGTCATCTATTTGTCATTTATCTATTTTTCTATGTATCCATATTGTATATCATATTAATGCCATCCATAGGCCTCCAGTAAAACTTGGAATGCATATGTGCTGATGATTTTCTCTTGATTGTAGGGAGGAATTGCAGCATTGTTTTCTGTTTACTGTAGGATTTGGGGCACTCTTATACACATCAGGGCAACATTCTTCTTTTCCAAGTATGCTGGGGAAATTTTCTAAAACGTGGAAGTTTATTAATTCAGATGTCACAAGCAACAAAGGAGGGTATTATAAAAGTCCAAGAACACATAAATATCAAATTAACCTGCTATTTTCCATTGTGATTCATACAGAAAATCACCTGATGGCAAGGTCTGCTCCTCTGCCTGGATTTATTCCCTAGAATCTATGAACATTCATGGCATCAAAATCATGGAGCTTGTTCTAGTTTGTGAGTATCATCTTTTACTATTAATTTACAATGCTATAAGATATGTAATTACAATGTTCTCCCTTCCCCTCTTCCCAACAAACCCTCCAGCAGATCTCTCTCTTCTTGCTGTCTATCAGTTTCATGGCCTCTCTTTTGCAATTGTTGTTTCTGCTGTTGCTGTTGGTAGTGATGATGGTGATAGTGGTAGTTGTTGTGGGGTGTGTGCATGTATGACATATGTTGTATATTATACACACATACAAGCATATACACACATGCACAAATATACTTGTGTGTGTGCAGTGTGTGTGTATCTCTAAGCACATAAACACAGTCGGCTCAGTCTCTATAATGTCATGACCATTTGGTATTGTGTAACCAACCATTTGTTTTGGTCTTCCTTGGGAAATACTTTTGCTCACACTCTAAGCTTACCATAGCTGTGTGTTTTCTCCTCTACCGTCAACTGAGACTAAGGTAGTATTCGTTCTTTGGGTGCCTTTAATCTTATTTTTGAGACAGTCCCTTATGTACTGGGGCTTGCCAACTGGGTCCCAGGAAACTCCCTCTCTGTGGTTCGAAGTCTCTTGGATTATGCATGTGGTCAAGCAACTAAAGCTTATAAAAATCAATCTTCTTTCTGGATATAGAATTCAGGTCCTCAAGCCTTCAAGGGAAACCCTTTACCCCGAGTTATATTATCAGCCCCAAAGTATATTTCAAAGGGCAAATTTTGAAGACCAAATATTTTACTTTTCAATTAATTTATTTTTTGTTCTGGAGATTTAGTCTGTAGGTTCTTTGGCTCATTGGTGCACGGCAGGTAAGTTTTGGTTTTTAGGATGTATTATTTATCAAACTTTCCTTTGTAACTTTGTTATTTTGATGTCCAATATTTAAAAGATTTGCTTTGTTCAAAACCAAAAGAATTTATCTTGTTTTATTTTGTAGGGTTCAGTTTTGATCTTATGCATTTAAATCTTAGCACCACTTATAATATGTTTTCTTGTACTTCTGTGAGGTACAGGTCATGGACAACATTTTTTTCCCTTGAATATGCAATTAGTCCAGTATTATTTCTTGTAAAGGCCATCTGCTTTCTCATCAAATTTTCTTGTCTCTTTTCTTAAAAATCAATTGCCTGAAAAGGTGTCAATCTATCACTGAAGTTGCTTTTGTCTTCCATTGATCTTTGTGTCTCACTTTGTGCTGGTCAGAGACCCTTTTGATTATTGTCTGTATACTAAATCTTAAAATCAGCTACTACAAGTCATTTAATGGGTTTTCAAAACTGGTTCAGGTGTTCAAAGCCCTCTGCATATGGATAATAGATTTCACAGTCTCTTTGACAATGTCTGCAGAGAAAGATGCAAAGATTTTATTGGGGTTGCACCTAACCTGCGAATTGATTTCAGAGAGCAGCTGTCTTCCAGCTTGTGGTCATGGCACATTGATTTGTGAACTTTGATCTTGTGAGTCTATACCTGACTTTGATGTGCAGATTTCATTCTTTTACAGATTTTTTAAGATCACCCATTACGTTTATGTTTACCCCTTAATACTTCACATAATGGAGTTGTCACTGTGGATTTTATTTAATATTGAGTTTGTCACAGGTCTGTGCAGATACAATTTGTACTTCATACTGACCATGCATCTATTTTGTAAGTTTAGAGATGCTGGGGCTGTCCTTTACATAGATTCCTTTTCTGTTTCTTTATTCAGATAATTGGGTTGACCATGAAGAACACATTCTATCTCTTCCCTTACTTTCTATGTGATTATATTAATTTTCTTACTTTGTTAACTAGGATGTCTGGCATAAAATAAAATGTCCTCAAAGCAGATATTATTGTTTGTTCCTAGAACAAGGAGAAAATATTCATGATACTTTTTTTTTTGGCTAGTTAAGTAGATTGTAAACCCCAGATTTTTTTTTTTTTGATATTGTTCTGTTACACTCCCTGGATGGTATCAAGCTCACCATTAGCCTCCCAAGTAGTTAGAATTGCAAATGTTATCATTATATTTCATTCATTTGTTTTATTATAAGGGGCTTACTAACATATGAGTTTATTCTCTTTTACATAGCAAGACATTGACTATCACTTGTTTTTACCTAGTTGGCTTGACAGGGTGAGTCCCCATCAATATCCACTTGTTTCCATACAGATTGTCTTGGAAATATAAAATATAAAACAAAATTATTTTAATATAAATACATTTTTTATTATTTTAAGTCATAGACTTTGTTTTTATAACCATTTCACAGTTTTGAAAATAATATATTGATTGTTGGCTTTCATTTTTACTCATAGTTGTTAATATCATGAATTGCACACTAATTAATTTCAACTATCAAGCCAACCTTGCATTCCTTGTTTGACTCTTGCTTGCTTTGGATATTGCTGATTTTAACTAAATAGTATTTTCAAAGGATTATGCATCAATATTAATTAAGGCTATTAATTTGAGATGTCTATTACTACAAGGTCTTATTCTGGCTTTAGGCTCAGTAAACTTTGTCCCATAATTGTTAAAACTTTTCTATTATCAGAAAATGATTTTATTGGGAATACTTCTTTTTTAGTCTCTGTACTTGTTTAGTAGAATTCATGAATAAAAATATCTTGTTTTAAGGTTTTACATATAGATATTTCTGCTTTCAATTTTTACTTTATAAATTTTTATATTTACTTATTTTAGTGACTTGCTTAATTTTTAATTCTATATCTTTGGTTTTTCTATTAATACAGGAAAACCATTTTAACATTCCTATATTACTGATTTTAATTAATTCTTTTTAACTCCTTATCTTTTAAAGTTTAAATTAAATTAAAATCCCTTTAACACATTTCCACATTTTGTTGTGACTCCAACCATAAAATTATTTTTATTGTTACTCATAGCTGCAAATTCGCAGTGTTATGAATTATAATATTTGATATTTAGATATAATATTTGATATTTAGACATCTGATATACAAGACATTTGATATGTAATCCCCCAAGGGGGTCAAAACAGACAGGATGGGAGTCACTTGTGTATAGTAATGTTTAAGATTCTTTGCTAACTTTCCTGTGGATACTTGGAATTTCCAGCACAAGTGAGACAGAATGTGAGCTGCTTCAGGTTTCTGCACCATATCTTCTTCCACAATGCTGCTGACTCTACTTTTCCAATATTCACAGTTTGGGTTGCAAACTTCTAGAATAGTCTGGGATGTTGTGCATAGATGAAAATTTGTTCATTAAATATTTCCCCATTTGAAACACATGTGATTTTATGTGAGTACCAATTACTCCATTTCTCTACATAAAGGATTTTTGTTTTCGTAATTAATGTTTCTGCAGAAGGCCTTATTTTTCTTCTAAGCATGGGTAGATCCATACAAATCATCTCTCAGGCTGTCATACACTTTTCTTCTGTGTCTATCTCAGGGCCAAATTTATACAAACATATATACTTTATAACATATATTCACAGAACAAACCAAATAGCATATATTTACATTTACATTATGTAACAGTCACAGACTGATTTGTAAGTCAAGAAAAGTTTCTCTAAATCAGTCTTCTCATTTCAAAAATTCTAGGTTGTTAACTGATGAAAACATTTATCAATTTAAAAGCAAAAATTTCATTACATTTCATTCATAAAAGACAAACATTTGTATTAGAAAACATATTAATGGTGTAGCATACCTAATAAACATTATTTTTGATGTTTGTTTTCAGATGATCAACACATATGTATCTTTGTCTTGTGGTGTCTAGAAAAACATAGGCAATTAATTAATATATCTGAAATGTAATAATACTTCTTTGATGTTGAGAAGATAGGTGTACTGTTTATTAGGTAATCAACAACTTGTTTTCTCTAGCGTTCATGTTCATTTTCATTCCTGCTTTCAGGGCTATGGATGCCAGTTTCCCTAAACCCTTTGTCACATTAAGTGGGTTAATTTGCTTGAATGACTTTATTTTCACATAGAACAACCCTGATTGCACCTTACCTATTAGTCTACTTGTTACCAAGCACTATCCTATTTGAGTTCATATTTCTTCAGAAAGTCAGTTTCTTCTTCAGAAAGTCCAGTTTATGAAATGGTATCCATAGGTTAACTGCTTCTGCTCCTGCATTCATGGGGTTGTCTTGAGGAAATGGGATGATGGGTGTTTCTTGTTTATACCACACTGCCATTTCTTAACATGTAACAGACAGGACAGACAACAGCTGCAAGGTTTGATGAGCGTCTCATGATGGCATTTGTTCTCTCCAATGCCTGCCTCCATTTGTTTTATTGTTTCATTGTCTCAAAGGGAGAAGTGAATGCTAGAATCACTGCTGAAGCTTGTCTTTCTGGCTTCCAGTTTCCAGAAAGAATTACGTTGCAGTCGACTAGCAAATGAAAAGCAAAGCAAGGAAACAAACAAACAAAAAACAAAACAAAACAAAAAAACAGGCTCATAAGCATCGTAGAAACTTTCTCCTGTAGCAGATGGGAACAAATACAGACACCTGTTGGCGGAGGCGGCTCCTTCGTTCCTAGCCAACCAGACTTGAAATAACCACACAGAAATCTGTATTGACTGCAATACTGTTTGGCCAATAGTTTAACTTAATAGTATTTCTGGCTAACTCTTGTATCTTAAATTAACCCATTTCTATTAATCTGGGTATTTCCACGAGGCTGTGGCTTACTGCCAAGGTTCCAGTGCATCTGTCTCCTGCTGGTGGCTACATGGCTTCTCCTCTGACTCTGCCTACTTTTCTATTTATCTTTTTCAGTCTGGCTTTACTATGTTAATCCATTTGAAGAAAGCAGCTTCTTTATTACGACAATAAAACATATTCACAGCATACATCACTTCCCACATCAGACACTCACAGACAGACATTGCACAGAGAGTGAGACCTGGGAAAACACATCTCTAAATGGCATATCTCCATCAATCCCTCTCCTCAGAGCCCAGGGAACCCCATGAGTGGATCTCTGATTCTTGTGACTTCTCTT